CCGTGTTTACTCTGCTGACAAGACTGTTGGCTCTGAGAGGGAGTGGCTGGCTCAGGGATTGGCAGTGATGCGAGGAGCCGCCTAAGTCACCAGTTCCATCCAGCACAGTGACGTGACTGGTCATGTCCTGGTGCCAGGCCGAGGTGCGATGGGGTCAGGGCCCCGCTGTGCTGGGCGGGCTCTGGGGCGGCGTATGTAGGCCGTGCGCTGGAGACGTTACGGTCTAGGAAGGCGAGAAACGTGTCACAGATGGAGAGAAATGCATCCATTGGGTGCTGAGGAGAGAAGGGGCGAGGGTGAGCTGCCAGCAGGCATGGCATGGCGCGGAAGGGCGCTCCTGAGAGGAGTGTCAGCAATATGACGTCGTTGGAGAAATCCCAGCCTGCGAGCAATTTAACCATAGCAGTTCCCTCTCCTCTCCCCCATCTCTGAGAATGGCTGGGACCAGCTGCCTCTGACGACGGTGCAGACAGTCCTGTAGTGGGCGACTTGCCAGGGAGCTGCCCACAGGGAAGTTTCTTCCTGGCCCCTGTCAGCTACAGGCTGACTCATGCCCTGAAGCAGGAGGATTTTTTTTGCCCTTTGTAAATTTTTATCCTGTGTGACTGTGACGTTCCCCAGAGTACAATCTGGAGCACTGAACAGCTGTGTCCCATCAGTTCTCCAACCTGGGGTGACTCTTATGTTGCTTGCGGTAAGAACCCCCACTCCTGGTCTGTTCACACACCACCTCAAACATGTAAAATCACTCCCCGTGGCACCGCATTGAGTGCTCCTTGTTAGCCACTCAAGAATTAAACTGCAGAGCAACACCAGCAAATTCTTAGTCCCAGACTTTCCTCAGAACTGTGCGTCTTGTACTGTCTAGCACACTACTGAACAGTAAAGCTCACAGAAAGTCTGTCATTTCATCAAAGGAAAACGATTTATTAAAGCTCAATTTCTTGGGCGAGAAACATCGTTGCTGAGTCGTGGTGACACATAGTCCATTGTGGACCTGTGGTTTGAAACATTCCTGTGATGCAACGTAAATTTCTTGTTCACACCTTCCAGTTGCTGGAGAAGGGATGCTTAAGTCAGCCCATTGACTTTGTTGATACCTGTCTGGGAGGGCCAGTGTGTCTTTGTCTCTGAAAAACTGGTTTGTGCCTGCTTGTCTTAATCTTGGAGCATGTGATAACAATGATACATACTAGAATCTAACAATTTAACAAACAGTGTTGATACACACTGTTTATCAGGATGACAATATTCAGCAGATTATGAGTTTTCAAATGATATCTCACAAGGCATACTTTGTACTAAATTTATCAGAGTCTTGTAAAAGTGGTGACCATAATAGTATAGACCATCACAGTGATGTAATGCTGGACATTCTTCTTGTCCAGATAAATGTCTCATCCTTTTTCGAATCCTGCTGAGCACTTGGCTTCAATATCGTCTTGTGGCAGTGAGTTCCATGGGTTAATATGCATTCCGGTAAAAAGAAATCCTTGTGGGAGTTGTAAATGTGTTGCCTTTCAGTTCGTGGGCTGCCCCTTGCTCCCTCATGTCAGGAAAGGGGTAATTTGGAGTCCCAGCTCTCCGCGCCAGCCATTTTTCTGTGCACTCTCTCACACCCCTGCAGGCCAGACCAAACTGTTGTTTGTTGATCTCTTAGCAAATGCTTTTTAGCCACATCTGGGCTCCCGCATGGCCTGTGGAACCGCGCTGCATAAAGAGACAAAATCCTTACGTACACCCTGTGTATCGCTGTGTTGGCATCAGCCTGTGTCTCCATCAGCCACAGGCAGATCCCCAATACAACCTGAGCTGCGGCCTGCCCCTCCCGAGGGGGGAGCGCAGCATGGGAGCAAACGTGGATACGTGAAAGGCAGCCAGTCCCATCCAGACAAAGTGGCGTGTTTGGCCTTCCTCAGCGAGTAGCTCAGGTCCCCACAGACAGCTCGCTGTGCAGAGGAGTCGCTTCTCCTCTTGGCGCGAGCCGTTATCATTCAGGGCCCGGGGAGCAGGATGTGTGTGTGCAAGATGCCCCCCGCAAGGCTGGAGGAACTGGGAAGGAGTGAGATGCCCCCCTGGGGATAGGGGAGCAGGTGGGGTCCGAGATGACTTCCCTCTATGGCAGGAGGAGCGGGGGGGCAAGATGCCCACCCCCAGGGCTGGGGGGAGCAGAGCGGGGCAGTACCTCTGAGGCTAAGGGCCGTCTGGCTGGCATCTCTCTTGGAAGCTGCGTGGAAGGCCAAGGGCCCAGCAGTGATCAGTGGTGGCCTGTCCTGGGTTTCTGCTTCCCACTGCCCCCGTTTCGGTGCCCAGGACATTCGTTAAATAGCACTGCACTTCTCTTCCACTCGCCAGCTGAAGCTTTCCAACCACTTTACACGGTCCAATGAGTTCGGCCTCGCCAGGCCCTGCACTAACTGCTCCGTTTGGCCGGGGCGCTCATGCCCAGAGCGCTAACGTGGCTTGCGGAGCTCACTCCGGGAGCCTGGCAGAGTTCGAGACTAGAGCACTCTCTGCACAAGGAACTGCCTGTGGCTGGCAGCTATTGTCCACCATGAGCCATTTTCCTCAGGCAGCCAGTGTCTGAGAAGTCTTGGCATGCGTCTGACAAGGCTTGGAGAGGGGAATGCTGCTGAGATCCCTGCCCTGGAGGGGACTTGAGGAGAAATCGGTACCCTATGAACAGAGCCTCTTCGGTGTTTAGCCAGCAATGCTGCCAGCCTGTGATTTGACTTCTCTATTCCCTGTTCATCAGGAATATCACAGTTAAGGTAAAACTTCAACTTCAAGATCAAACCAGACGACAGGGAGGGAAGGTCCGTACGCAGAGGTAACCCTTGCTGCACTTTCCTGAGGTCACTGTTACATAATGTGTCTTGCAGAAGAATGGAAGATGGTGTTGTCAGTTAGTGCGTTTCCCAGGTATCAGAGACTTCTCCCTCGTGTGGATGAGTTACCTCTTGGTTTGATGGATTGAAGTAAAACCCATCACAGTCTGTTTGAGGGTTGGTCTCTGAGTCTAGTTTAGAATCAATTTGCAGCTCGTCTAGTGATGATGTTTTAGTGAGACAGTACCGCCTGGGAAATGTCTGGGAAGGGAGAGCCATGGAGTACAGCCCCTTTGTCCTCTCTGGATTCGGCTGCGTTTAACGTTACTGAAGAGCCAGTGTCTGGTTGAACTTTTCCAGTTTTCCTTTACATGCAGAATACAATGTGACCTTGACTCTCCAGGTCTCAGAGATCCCAAACTCTCTTATCAGCAACAAGGTCAGGTTCTTGATGTCTGTTAATTACCCTGAACGTTCGGTTGGTTATCTGGCATGACTCAGTAACCTGTAGTATGGCGTTTGGATAATAAACATTGGACTGCATAGTAGTTACTGTGTGTCAACTTAGTCGCATCTCAAAATCAATTAGGGGCTTGTAAAATGTCAGTAGCTAATGGCTGACGAAGTACATCTGGGAACACGTGCTCCTCGTGGCAAAGCCCCTTTGTTAGCCTCCTTTGTGTAGTCTCCAGTCCCTCAGAGGGCAGTACAGCATGTGGGTGCGTTGTTGTTTTGTTTTCCTATAGCTCATGAAAATAACCAGATTTTTATTTGTGCATCTATTTAATTATGTCGTGTGTCACCAGCAAGAGGGGTTATAAACAGCATGCATTCGGAAGAGATCTCTACGCAGCAGGGTGTCACAGAGCATCATGGGAGCCCAAGTTTTCCGGGCCATAATGTTCTCCACCGTATTTACAGTGGCAGGCCACAGTGATGTCTGTGCAAGGCTCACAATCTCCCTGCATGTCCAGCCACAGAAACGAGCCCCGAGAAGGGAAGGGGAGCGTGCTCTGCTTGTGATGTGATGTGTTCAATCCCTTATTAAACCAGCCTCTGATCTGACAGCCTGTAGTGCACCGTAGCAGCAGATACACCGGGCGGGTTTGTGCCATTGATGTCCAGGGACCCTGTGAAGCACTAGCAGAGAGCAGTTATTTTTCTTTCTTTCAATGCACCGTGCAGCGACTGCAGTCCTTGGCCTCGTGAGTGCCCAAGCCCTAGCAGCAAACTAGTGCCACAGGAGAGTCTGTTATACCCCCTCGTTCAGCACAGGGTTCATGGAGCTATAGAGTGTACTGAGAGATCCGCATGGGAAAAGTGAGATGTTACCTTTGATCTGGGTGGGAATTGTTCTCGCGGATGATGGTGGTGGTTGTTTTATTAGCATTTATGGTGTGTGCCCTCCTTGTGCGAGATACTGTGCAGACCTAGATGGACGCAGAGTCCCTGCTGCAAAGAACTTGCAGGCAAGGGTGTGCAGTCACACCTGGTGGGATCAGGCCCCTGCTGACCACCTGTGGCTACAGTGAGATCTCCCTGGGTGAGAGTTTCTGGTCCCTGAGCACTGACATTGAAGGGAGTTTTGCCACTGGCTTAAATGAGAGCAGGTCCGGGCCATTGGCCCATAGCACATTCTCACTGCATCAACAGCAGTGTAAGAAACCCCAGGAAGCCACCTGTGCCACAGGCTCTGACCTCCTACTGGGGCAGTTATTGGACCCTCTTTTATTTGCTGGTTCGCATGCTGTGGCCCATCCTTCCCTGCACCTAGTCTTGTGCTGAAATGTTAGAGAAGGAGGCTGAGCTTGTGGTCAAAGCACTGGGCTGGGGCTCCGGGGATCTGGGTTCAGCTCCTGGCCCTGCTCCAGATTCCCTCTGTGGCCTGTGGCAAATCACGTAATTGCTGTGTGCCTCAGTTTCCACATCTGAACAATGGAGATAAACAGTTCCCTTGCCCTATCTCATCTATTTAAATTATAAACTCCTTGGGTCAGGGGCCCTTAACTGTGTGTGTGCAGTGCCCAGCCCAGGGAGGCCTCTTGGCAAAACTGAAGTCCCTCTAAATAATCTACGTGGTTCAGTATTAAGCACCAGCGAATGTGCCCAGCACGTGGGGGGATTGTCTGCGGTGCACAGTGAGCCCAGTGGTGGTTTGTGTGTCTCCCCCAGGTAATATTCCATGACGTGGACATACTGACAGAACAGCTGTTCCCAGTGGTTGAGGCCATGCAGAAACACTTCAGTGCTGGGTCCGGGGCCTACTACAGCGACTCCATCTTCTTCCTGTCCGTGGCCATGCACCGCATCATGCCCACAGGTGAGCCTTCCGGGCGCGGCAGCAGCCAGGGGCAGCACAGCGGGTTTCTCCCAGCACATAAATGTACCCAGTGGTCCATGCAACGCAGAGAGGCTGCTGTCGCGGGAACAGCAAGCTTGTCCATGTGCCGACAGGCAGGTTTGACCTCGATGAGCTACGAGCCACTGCCCTAGTGCGGCGCACAAGGGCATTCTGTGTAGCCTGGTGCCCAGTACTGCATCACTGACACACACAGGGCCGTGTTGGCTGGTGATTTCCAGCTGTGCCCTGGGGCTCCCTGGCCCGTTACAAAGGTGGTGCTGGAAGGTGCAATGCTGCAGCTGTTGTTTCCAGGTGGTGGCTGGGGAGTGCCCAGGGCTAACCTGCAGTGGGGCTGAGCCCTGCAGTCAGACGTTCTTTCCAGCTGCTGACACTGCATAAGGCCTCTCCTCCCTAGGCTCTGGAGTATGCTCACACGTTCCCCCGAGGAGGTAGTTCCCTGTGATGGGGTCAGAACCTGATTTCTGCTCCCTGTTCTTAAGGAGCCTGGTGAAGGCCCAAGTTGTCATGGACTCACAGGTCGTGCTCTCCCGGCTCCGTGCGGTCCCTGGGGGAAACCCCCTACAGTGCGACAGCCCTTCTCAGGGGTCCACTCTCTCTTGGGGGTTAAGCCCCTCCACCTCCTGGAGCCGCACCTCTCTGAGCCTCCAGCATGCCTGACTCTCTCTCACTGTGGGCCCCCTCAGGGAGTCCCCTCGCTCTGGACCCCCGGGGCCTCCATTCCCGGGGGAATAATGCCACCCTGATCTCTGGATCAGAGCAACTCTCAGTCAGCGGAACACAGGAGGGTGTATTGAGCATCTGAACCCAGCACAGGAAACTCTCTGGGCCTCAGGCCTGGACTCCCTCAGCCCAGCACATCTAGTCTCTCCAGCATCCAGGTGGGCTTCGGCTGCTCATGCTCTTTGGGCTGAGCTGTCCCCAAAGCCCCGGGTGGGAGAGCTGGTGGGTCGGGGAGCCTGCATTTAAAAAGCCAGTCCTCAGACACAGATCTTTCCTTCACCTACGGTGGTTTCAAACCAGCCCTGTTGTGGACCAGGCCAGAGGGAGCTCTCTGCGCCATGCGGGCCTGAAGCTGTGACTGCCCCAGAAGCTCAGGTTGAAAGGGGTGTTGCTGGCGAAAGGCGCTCGGCGCTTGTGAATGGGACGGCGGCTGGGATACGGGTGTGTGTTCGGAGCGCCAGTGATTTTGCGGGTTGAGTCAGCGTGTCAGGACGCTGCTGTGTTACGTCTGAGTCTCCTTCGTGCCCCTGGAGCCCACTGAAAGGAACTGAAGTCGAGGATCCAAACAGCCCTGAGCTGTAAAGTAGTATGGAGCAGGAGGCTGCCCTGGCCCTGTCTCTGCTTCCGACAATATCTGAAATTCTCCAGCTGTGTTAACTTCCTGCTTTTCCATCCCCGCCCATGCCTGGCGAGCAGATGGGGATGCAGCAGGTTTGTGGTAGCTGATGGCCCCTGGCTGGCTGGCTCCGTGTGAGCAGACACTGGGAGCAGAGCAGGGTATTGATTAGTGCATTCCTTTCCCATCGGAAAGCTCTGTTGATGGATGGTCATTGATTTTGTCTTTATCTGTTCTTATCTTGCCTTGCTCTCTGCATTATTGTGGAACCAAGGGACAGCAATAAATCTACAGGAAAACAAAGCAGCCCTGGAAAAGGGGCTTGGCTCAGTTAGCTGCAGCCTTTTCCTTCCTCTGCAGCCTGTGGGTAGTTCTCCTGGGACACATCTTCTCTGTAAGCTCGGCCTGTAACTCGCTGTGTCCCTGCTCTGTCTTCCCTTCCTGCTAAGACTCCTGTTTCTCACAGCAGGGGCCAGACCTGGGAGAGTGGCTGAGTTGCTGGCGCACTAATGAATGTTTGGGTCAGAATTTGATGGTCACAGACCATGTGGGTGTTGTGGAGCCTTCATAGCGTTTTGCATCCCTGATTCAGCAAGGTACCTGCGTATGAGGAGCCCTCTGGCTTCAGGGGGGCAGCCCGGCCCTTGCAGCTCAGCACACACGTCAGTGTCTTGCTGAGCTGGGCCACTGAGCAGTGTTTGGCTATGGCGGGGAATGCGTTGCAGTGGTTAGAACAGGGGGCAGGGAATCAACATTTGCATCGGTGACGGGAAAGGCCTGTTAGGTCATCTAGCCCAACTGCCTGCCAGTGCGGGGTGGCTGGCTCTGGAGCTATGTTCTGGCCAGCCAGTGTTCCCAGTGACAGCGCTCCCAGGGCTTATCATAGAATATCAGGGTTAGAAGGGACCTCAGGAGGTCATCTAGTCCAACCCCCTGCTCAAAAGCAGGACCCATCCCCAATTAAATCATCCCAGCCAGGGCTTTGTCAAGCCTGACCTTAAAAACTTCTAAGGAAGGAGATTCCACCACCTCCTTAGGCAACGCATTCCAGTGTTTCACCACCCTCCTAGTGAAAAAGTTTTTCCTAATATCCAACCTAAACCTCCCCCACTGCAACTTGAGACCATTATTCCTTGTCCTGTCCTCTTCTACCACTGAGAATAGTCTAGAACCATCCTCTCTGGAACCACCTCTCAGGTAGTTGAAAGCAGCTATCAAATCCCCCCTCATTCTTCTCTTCTGCAGACTAAACAATCCCAGTTCCCTCAGCCTCTCCTCATAAGTCATGTGTTCCAGACCCCTAATCATTTTTGTTGCCCTTCGCTGGACTCTTTCCAATTTATCCACATCCTTCTTATAGTGTGGGGCCCAAAACTGGACACAGTACTCCAGATGAGGCCTCACCAATGTCGAATAGAGGGGGACGATCACGTCCCTCGATCTGCTCGCTATGCCCCTACTTATACATCCCAAAATGCCATTGGCCTTCTTGGCAACAAGGGCACACTGCTGACTCATATCCAGCTTCTCGTCTTCTTCTCATGTGAAGCTTCTTCTCATGGGGAAGCTTCATTCTACTAGGGCAGAGTTGAGCTCTCCAAAGCTGTCTAAGGGATTTGGACACCCAATTCTCATGGGATCCAAGTCACCTGGCAGCAGCTGCTTGTGTGCATGTCCTGGGTCGAGGTGTCACCAAGTCCCCTGGCTTCCCTGCTCTTGTTACTTGCGCTGCCTAGATCAAAGCTGGCTCGGGTATGTCTGCTTGTGCTACAGTCACGCCTCTGATGGCAGTGTGGACGTAGGTGTCATTAATGATTGGCTGTAAGCCGGGGCACTGAAATGTGCTCAGGGAAGTTTCTGTTGGGCCATAAAGCCCATTATAGCTGAGTGAACACGAGGGGATGGCTTGCCTGAGCCCATAGTGTATCGTGCAGCGCCGGCAGTTATATGAGCAGTTGTTATTTTCCAGACAAGGAGGAAACGGAGCAGACTCTGGCATCCTTCCTTTGTTCTTGGGCCATCCTTTCAAACGCAGCCTTCTGGAGGAGGGTCATAGCGTCAGGCAGCAGGGAAGGCAGGAGGGTGACCCAAGACCTTCCTGGTGGAGGTCTGGACCAACTGGCACCATGAGGCATGCAGAATGGTTTGTGGGGGAGGGGGGAATCTCTGGAAGAAAGAGGCTGTCTTGGGTTATTTTGTGATGGGCTTTCTACTCTCTGAACAGTCACCCAGATAAAGTGAATCTGTCTAATGCCCAGTGTTGTTAGATATCTGGATTGGCCTGGCCAGGCACCCGGTGTGGGGCAGAACAGGACAGTGGGTGGGGGCTGAGTCCAGGAATCTGTCCTTGATGCTCGTTAATTTCCAAAACAGCAAAGACCTGCTTTTCTACAGCCCAGCAGGCTGCTCTCTTGTGTTTCTTCCCATCCTGATTTGTCCTCCTCCATCTGAGAAGCAGGTACATCCCACCTGCCCTCCGGGAAGTCTCAGTTTGGCTTGGAATGCTGCAATCCCAAACCCCAGAGATGGGTCTCACAGCAGCCTTTGCGTATTTGTTGAAATTCATGGATCAGGACAGCAGTAGGGGCATTCTGTTACATGGTGGCTGATTTTGTACCTACCGCAGTTGAAATGACTGCAACCCCCTCTGCCCCCTCCTCCCAGGCCTGGAGCTGTGCCAGGACCCTGACTGAAAGGTTTCCCTGCTGCGGTGACCGAGTGCCAGGCAGTGTGCTTGGCTCTCCTGACGTGACTCAGGATGATACTAAACTGGGAGGAGTGGTAGATATGCTGGAGGGGAGGGATAGGATACAGAAGGACCTAGACAAATTGGAGGATTGGGCCAAAAGAAATCTGATGAGGTTCAACAAGGACAAGTGCAGAGTCCTGCACTTAGGACGGAAGAACCCAATGCACCGCTACAAACTAGGGGCCGAATGGCTAGGCAGCAGTTCTGCGGAAAAGGACCTAGGGGTGACAGTGGACGAGAAGCTGGATATGAGTCAGCAGTGTGCCCTTGTTGCCAAGAAGGCCAATGGCATTTTGGGATGTATAAGTAGGGGCATAGCGAGCAGATTGAGGGACGTGATCGTTCCCCTCTATTCGACATTGGTGAGGCCTCATCTGGAGTACTGTGTCCAGTTTTGGGCCCCACACTTCAAGAAGGATGTGGATAAATTGGAGAGAGTCCAGCGAAGGGCAACCAAAATGATTAGGGGTCTGGAACACATGAGTTATGAGGAGAGGCTGAGGGAGCTGGGATTGTTTAGCCTGCAGAAGAGAAGAATGAGGGGGGATTTGATAGCTGCTTTCAACTACCTGAAAGGGGGTTCCAAAGAGGATGGCTCTAGACTGTTCTCAATGGTATCAGATGACAGAACGAGGAGTAATGTTCTCAAGCTGCAGTGGGGGAGGTTTAGATTGGATATTAGGAAAAACTTTTTCACTAAGAGGGTGGTGAAACACTGGAATGCGTTACCTAGGGAGGTGGTAGAATCTCCTTCCTTAGAGGTTTTTAAGGTCAGGCTTGACAAAGCCCTGGCTGGGATGATTTAACTGGGAATTGGTCCTGCTTCGAGCAGGGGGTTGGACTAGATGACCTTCTGGGGTCCCTTCCAACCCT